CTTTCATTCGATAATTGCGTATCTGTTATTAATACATTTCTTATTTATCTTGAAAATTTACATTATGTTAAAAGCAATTGTTATCAAGATACATTATTCGATGATCCTTTTTCACGTGATTATAAAGGGTGTGTCCTAAGTTTTAATTCCTTCAAGTAATACTCATTTGTTATATGTTTCTTCGACAGAATAGGCTAATATTCACAGCATATATACTAGATATCTAAATCTACTCTACGCTACGTAGGATATCTTAGGTCAGAGTTCGAGTATTTCCTGAAAGGATTCGCTCGAGAAAACTTGGGGTGTGGGTGTGGGATGTGGGTGTGGGTGGGTGTGGGGTGTTGGTGTGGATGAGGGTGTGGGGTGTCGGTGTGTGGGGTGGGTGTAGGTGCGGGTATGGATCTTTTCTTCAATAGAATCCACACCCCACACCTCACACGCACACTCCACACTCACATCCACACACTCACACCCACACCCACAATTTCAAAATGAAAATAAGATTCTTCTTTAAAAAAGGAAGGTTACTTGACTTTTTCATGAAACAATATCCAATGTTTCATATCTGATTCAATTATTCATTGAAGCACAAACCATTGGATAAATTGCTCTGTTCAACTCATTTTTCGAGTTAAGATTTTTCAAAGCAATTTTTGTTTCTTGTCTTTTTATTCATTTCGAAAATGATGATGAAGGTGAATATTCTTCATTAATTGAAAAAGGAAAGAAAATATTTTAATTTCAATGATATTTCATTTGCTTCTCCAACATGGAAAGATCGATTGATTTTCAAAAATCTTCATTTCATTGTTCGTTTTGAACAAATTACAACATTTGTTAGTGGAAGTGATTCTCTTGTTCTTTGTAAATATTCAAACTATTCTTCAGCTTCCAAATCTAATCATTTGTCTTTCTTCCTTTTTTTGTTGCTTTTGAAGAAAGTATCAAAGATCGATTGGTGGAAATAGAATTGAATTAAATGGAAGAGAAAAACAATATCTTGCATTAACTTGAACTTTATTAAAAAAAATTGCGATAATAATCTTAGACGAAACAACAACTGCTTTAGATTCGAGAAATGTATATTACCTTCGAAATCGTATTGAACGAACATCAAAAGATTTTTTTCTTTTCTTTTCTTGAAGATTCAGATATTTCTTAATAAGTCGAACATCGTTTATCAACAATTGGAAAAACTGATCAAATCTAATTACGTAGATTATTATTAAATTCAATGCTATTTTTGTCTTGAAAATTATTAATCAAGCGATAATTATCGATAATAAAAGGAAATAAAGCAATTTGTTTTACTTGCATATTTATTTACATAAACGAGATTTTTTTCTAATAGAAGTCTTTATTTAGAAATATTCTCTAGACGAACAAAAATTGTCCAGTGTGACTTGATCGATAATTGAATGTTGTTTAAATAGCCATGTCATTTATTAATAGCGAAAAACTTATGAATCAATTTAAACATATAATGAAGATTAAGAAAAGTTACGTCAAAAACTAGATGAAATTAGTTGGTTGTTTTCTTCCCACATTATATACTTGAAAAATAATGAATTTATTTTATTGATGAATGCTATCATCTTTAGAACTCATGATACATTGCTTGTTACCTAATTATCATCACTGTTATGATTTGACTGCATGTTGGGTGAGGATCACATATTATTTGAATATCTATGGCTCTCTCTACCAGGGATGCCACCTCATGAAGTCGAAAAAGCGGAAAATTGACTTAGAAAAGCGGAAAATTGCGGAAAAAAAGACCGAAAAAGCGGAAAAAAAGCGGAAACTTATTTCGTCGCGGATTTTTAGCATTTCTGAGAATTTTGAGTGTTTTTCATATCTATAGCATTCTGCTTTTATTTTAACAAAATTGCAAAACATAAAATATTGTTGAAATGAATAAGAATGACTATGCTTCACTGCATGGTATACGAAAGTACCTTCTTCAGCTGCTGTTTTTTTTCAACCTCCTTGTTGGATTTCATAGTTAATGTTATCAATTGTCGATTTATACGAAATGATTTTATGTTGTTGTTGTGTCTTTCAACTTTATGTGACGATCAATGTTATTTTTTCCACCGTTCTGTACTGAAAAATGTTCATTAGAGGCAATACAAAGAACTTTAGCTGAATCTGGTTTATACTCTCGTAAAAATGATGCGAATTGAGGACTAAGTAGCCATTGTGGCTTAAACATGCATTTTTTTCTCTTTTGATAACTACCTAGTATGGCTTCAACATTTTTATTTTCATTTGATTTCAGAATTGGTGATGCTGTTATTAAATTCTCACGATCTGTTTCATCTTCATTTGTAATCTCAATATCTGTAGATCATTAAAAAACATTTAAATTTTTGGATTCCAGATTATTTTGCGTACATACAATAGGCAAAATAAGTTGAAAAGGAGATAACTATCAATTGGAAGCAGAATGATATTTTAAATTCTCAAACAGACAATTAGTGCACAACCCCTCTAACATAGAAAAGCTTTGTGTTCGTCCATTGATTTTATGAATGACATAATAAGAGTGATGATTAACTGGATACGTAAAGAGTAAGACTTTATTCGACAATAATAAGTTTTGCTCTGTACGTATTTTGAAAACACATCACCTTTTTATATCAAAAAGCGGAAAAAAGCGGAACAGCGGAAAAATAGTGGAAAAAAGGTGAAAAAGCGGAAGAGGTGGCATCCCTGCTCTCTACATACAGCAATGTCACACGTTAACTGTTGTTCAGATAATATATTGTTAATTAATAAGATAAATTAGAATTCGTTTCAGTTTCGTTTATAATGGTGTTCAATGTGTTTGAACATTGAGACATGTCTTCGTTGTTATGTATCACATAACCAATAATATACAGTTTGACAAGTGGAAGTTCTGCGATATAAAAAGCAATTTAACGATAATGACAACTATTTTGGATGCGATCAAGAAGTTTAAAAAATCTAATAATTCAACTTTTGTTGAGTTTTGAACATGCTACATGTATAAAGATACAAGCCCTATGTTGTTTCTATTAAAAATTCAGAACTTTTCTTGGTTATAATGGATAACACTTATTACTTATTGTGTAGTTATTTAAAAGATTATTTCATATCAAATGAAGTATTGTAAGTAGGATTTTAAACTTAAATTAACATAAAGTTTATAATTGTGATCAAGGTGAAAATTTTCATCCAACTGTAAATTTGTTTCAAAAAACAATACTGTCTTTTACTTTTTTCAAATCATTAAGCAAGAAGTAGTAAATATGTGCGACATAATTTTTATTTTTCCTTTCATTTGATATTCTCCAATAAGAAAATACGATTCAACATGTATGTTTATTATTCACTCATCTTTGTTAAACTTACATTATAACTCTTGATTTTTCTCGTATATTTTCGATTTTCGTCGTATTCATCTAATCATGAGCGTCGCGATCAATAATTCTTCCCTAGTACCAAAGCTCAATAATTCATATACGTATATAAAGCAGTTGTTTTTCATTATAAATATTGACATAATCAGAAGTTTATATACATATTTAGTATTATAAATAAAACTCCAATCGAATTTTTCAAAACATCTTTGCAAATACTAACATATGGTAAAAATAAGTCCATTTCGTCGACAAAGAGCAAATATTCTGCATTAGTCAAAGAAATAAATTGACGTCAATAACAATAATGCAATTGTTTTCTTTTTTCTGTTGCAGATATCCAGAAGTTGTTCTTTGGGATACTTTTCAAGAGGAGCTTAAAAATGTACTAATTCGTAAAAATGATATAACTGTACAATATTTAATCAAAGCACCACGATTACGTCCAGAAGTAACTAGTGAAGAAGAAGTTATTGTTGCTATTATTGAAAATGTTTTTGATCCATTATCTCAATTTCTTTAAAAACAAGAGCTATATTGTTCGTTTACAATTGATGGTTCAAGTGCACCTGAAATTATAGGTTGGGGTGTGAGTGTGGGGTGTGGGTGTGGGGTGTGGATGTGGGGTGTGGGTGTGGATGTGGGTTTAGATAAAGAAACACCCACATCCACACCCACACCCACACCTACACCCACGCCCACACCTACACCCACACCCACACCCTGGTACATCACGATCACCTGGTATATTTGAGTCTTTGAATGGATCATAATTAAATTTCGTTCCTAAAAGAAGAACTTATATTTTTATTTAAAGTAAAATACAAAAAAAATTACCGAACAAAACATTGTCGTTTTGTTGATGTTTTTAAACTGCTTGTACTACCAGCTATGTCACCTGTCATTTTATTTCGACGTTCATCCATAATAGTTTTAAATCGAATAAAATCTAAATAAAAAAATCTTAACGAAATAATAAACTTAATTTTATTAGCAAACCATCATATTTATAAAAAACATATACAACAGTTGTATCACCAAATTTTTTTACTACGGCTGCTGCATGATCATGTGGTGTTCCATATAAATCAATATTATATACTGATAATAAAAAAGAATAAAAGAAATATATTATATAATAGTTCTAGTAATAATAATAATAATAATTAACTTACATGAAAAAACTACCAATATCACCACCATTCCTGCTAATATTGATTCAATTCGTGATGAAAGTGGTGATAAACATCGTGCCGAAGATAATAATGATGCTGTCACTATCAAGTTGTTGGTGTTCTTTTCATTAGTGAAAACATTATCGACGTGATCAGCATGGATAACACCATCAACATCACCATCGACACTACTACCACCAACACCAACAACATCACCATTGATATTACCAATAACATTACCATCGATACTACCACCAACATCATCATCGATATCATGAACACCACCACTATCATCAATATGATGAACAGCACCATCAAAATCGACAGGATGAAGACCATCATCAAATTCTTCAGCATCAAATAAGTTCATCACCACCACTTCAGGACCAATGGGAGCAGCAACACCATTGAAGACCAATGGTAAATACATTAGTTCTTGAGATGGCTGATAATATTCATTCTAAAGCAAAGATCATAAAAATCAATAACGAAATTTAATTTTACTTACTTCGACAATGTTGAATTGCTTATTACATGAAATATG